AAAGGTACTCCGGTTAGAATCCCAACCCTCGGGAATTCGGTACACTACAAGTAAGTCGAAACTTGTTTGTGCATCCGTCCCGTCCCGGTTGCTCCGTTTGCGAATTTGGGGCAATCTGCTATTCCATGCGGTTCAAGTGTCAAGTGACATACATACCTGTAGTCGGATCACCGAACATTGGACTGTACTTACCACAGAGCTGGAGACTGTTAATGAGTCGGGTCACATTATTCCGTCGATGAATGCTCCTTCTCTCTGCATTTTGTACGATAGCCCCCCTACGCTTCTAGATCAAAGCTGAACGTTTATCGTGTACAATTGGCCACTCTACGATAGCTACAATAATTTCATGGTGGGCATGGTCTTACCGAACCTTATCTATGTCTAACTATAATTGGCCGTACTTAATAGTTGGAGACCGTGATCGTCAAATATTTGGACCTCCCTTCGATCGACAATCGCAGTCTATATTTTGATCCGTGAGTGTACACTGTAGGTACGCGGGGATACCATACCAGGTACCACCTACTATAGGTGTCACCCGTCGTACGGTACCTAGATACCTGGTGATGGACCTCTACCGCATACCGTAGGCTTTCGTAGCCTGCAGATCGTGCACAGGTACCTCGCGAATATGAGGCTACCATTGAAGCCTAGGTTTTTGGTATATATGCATACATATAGGTGCGTACCAGGGTACTCTACCCAGCTGAGGAGACCGGCGGTACGTGTAGGTAAGCTTTTTAGGTACCTTAGTAGATACCTACTTACACGAATGGAAAGATCCAAAAATGCCATGCCCGGTCGGTCACTATAGTCCAAGGCCTCCCAAATGTTATCGACACCTCAATGCGCCACCTCAATGCGCCACTCAAATTGATGCCATGGGTGCAAACACAAGGCCTTTACGAGCTCGAGCTCAAAAACATTCAAAAACATGGCTTCCCAAGCACTCAAATGGGAGCTATTGAACATCTACAAAGCATTGTTTGACGATTAGATATAGATAATTCAATGCATCGGAACGACAATGGCTATCTTTTGAGAGATGTTGGGAAGTGTTCTACTTGTATTTGGTCCTATAAAGTGCTCATTATGAACCCCCACTTCACTAGCAAATTTGGGCAATTTTGCATTTTTACCTGAATGTTTGAAAAATTGATGGTAATTTCCCGGTCGCTTGTCGGTCGAACGTCAAAAAATGCTCACGGGGTACCGCCGATACTCGTCCGGTAACAGGATATATCGGCTATACGCGGTCACAAGTACTTGCGAATTGATACGAAATTCCACACCGTAGTTGTCGCGTCCGGCTTAAGCCTTTCCCGTTTTTCGAAGATCTCCTACGTCCTATTCTTTGACAAGGACCGCATCTCCTCGTCCATGGACTTTGCCAATGGTCACTCTGTTCTCCCTCTGCGGCTTCCTGATGAATCTACGGTTTAGAGGGCTCCCCTGTCCCTTTGAGATGCTTCCCCATTTTAGCGTCTGCTTCCAAGTTGGCGCGGTACCACTCCCCACGTGCCCATCTATCGTGGGCGGGGTACCTTTGGGAAACCGATATTTGAACTCCTCAAGTGATCCATGTCCCATGTCTTTTTCGGCTCTGCCTTAGCTTGAGCCTTGGCGCTTAAGATCCCCAAATTGGCCGATTATTGGATTTGGGGCGCTAACTCGCGTCCGAGGGTTCCTACGCGCCAAATCCGACAATGTCCCCTTTTTGACCACAATCGGATCGCCACCCTCGTCTGCTGGGGGAGATTCTCCGTAAAGGCGGAGCTAAGCTCGACAACCCCTTCTTCGTTCGCTTTCTCCGATCCAAAATGACGTCGTAGCGGATGATGAGCTTGCCGTCCTTCTCCCGGAGCACCCGGTATGCCTTAAAATCCGGCTCGTATCCCAAAAATACTTCTTGCTCCCTTATTGGATCCAACAAGTTTTTCTCTCCGTTGCTTTGGCCCCTGCACAAACGCCCCCGCCCCAAACACCCGGATGTGACCCACTTCGACTTTTTGCCGAAGAATGCCTCACACGGGACCTCGCTCACAGAGGTCCGGTTCCAGGGTGTAGATGGCCGTCACAACCAGCTTTGACAACAACTTGTTGGGCAGGCCCAAGTTTGCAAACATCGCCTGGACCTTCTCCTCCATTTGTCAAATGAGCCGTTCCGCGGACCCGTTCTCCTCGCTCGTGTACCAGGCGGTGTTCTCGTGCACCGTCCCCTTGCCCCCGAACACTTCGTTGGGGGTTTTGCTGACGTACTACTTGTTAGATTTGGGCGGTACTAGCCTTGAGTACGCCCTAATATCCTATGATATATCGTCCATAGAGTCGTAGGTTTGATGCATAAGATCGGCCGTACGATTGTGAGCTTGCATAATTAAATATCCACCGTAGGATGTGCGAAACGTAAGCCGTAGAATTGAGTCCATTGTGCATGGGTTCTTTTGTGTGTATTTCGGTAAAGCCGTTCGATAGGTTCTTTTGTTGCCAACGTCGAATAGGGACCGTCGATTTGTCGATTGAAACACCTAGGGTAGCTAGGCTTGAGCTAGACTATGAGACTTGGACTCATGTAGCAAAAGAACCACACTCATTCCTAGTAGTTGTGCACTTGAAAGGCGCTTGCTTTCAACACTACTTCCCCAATCCTTCCGCATCGACAAGTGAGCTGGTTCCCTAGATAACTCCAATCGGTTGATCACGTGCTCACTCACCTTGGCCACTTCCCTCTTTTGCTTCAGAGAAAACTACGACCGAGAGCTTGCTGTAGTCGTCCAAAAACGTGGCGAAGTACCGGATGTCCCCAACACAAAGCACTGGTGTCGGCCCACAAATGTCCATGTGGACCAGCTCAAAAGACTTGGGCTCATCGACTCCGCTGTCTGGAAAAGGTTGTCGCGTTTGCTTCCACATGATGCAGGGCTCACATAAGAGCTTTAAGCCCTTTAAGCGCACCCGGTGTCACCTCGAGACCCTCGGCGAGGTTCCCTTGCACCATCTTCGCCGAAATCTTATACCCGCTGTGTCCCATGCTAGAGCTCCGCCGGGTTCCTCACAAAGAGACCCTTCTCAGTCTCCGCCCGGTCGACCACGTAGATCCCCTTTACTTTTCGAGCTACAAGGACTAGTTCTTTGTCAATCGCAAGCTTACAACTCCTTGAACGACACCGTCACGACCTTGTCTGCCTTACTCACCCGAGAAATTAGGTTTGCCACCACTTTTGGGACATACATCATGTCCCGAGAATGAGCAGACTGTCTCCGGTCGGTATCGCACTTCGCAGCTCAACCGAGCCGCTCCCTTCGTCCCACAAGGTTTCCTTGTCCTTGAACGTGAGCTCTCGGCCACTCCCCCCGAACATCTCGAGGGTCTTAAATAGGCTCTTGTCCCTAAAGTCTGTTGAGAGCTAGTACCCGAATTGACGAGCCACTTACCGCCGTAGCTACTCTCTCAACCACGGTAAAGGCCACTTCTTTGGAAGGTTTTTCAACGGCCTGCAATAGAGAGCGGAAAATCGCCAGTTGTCCACATTTCCGAAAAAGTACCACAAACAATTGCTATAAAATAGTAGATAATCAATGAAAACTTCAAATCGAGGTTTAGACTTACAATCATTTTCTATGTTTGCGTATGTGAGGCTTCCCTCTATAACTTGAAGTATGTCGACCGTTGGGGTGAAACCCTCATAGAGTTTCATCGAGTTGCCACACGCGTCGTATAGCAACGGTTTTCAAACCGTTGTTGTGAATTTGTTACTTTCAACTGGCGACTTAAACTCGTGGAATCATACAGGTTGAAACAAAATATATGTTATGCTGCACGTGGCATGATGATCGAAATATAAAGTAAAATTGAATTCTCATGCACATGTCATGTACCGGGAGTCCCAGACCTTGCAGTTCGTCGGAGTACGGCGCGCTACCACCGCATTGGCACCGCGGTGGTACCGTACACCGTCCGCGGTGCGTGCTCGGTGCCAACGTGTACGGAACATGTAGTCACGAAATTTTAGCACGCGACCTCTCAAGAAGTCGATCGGGACATGTACAGTGCCCGTACAGTGCCCATGCGCAACCAATGGTCAACTTGTCAGATGTTACGTACAACTCTTTGCACATTCCGTATATTTCGGGGATTCCTCATCTCCGTGGAGAATTTAGGCTTCACTCGGAGTTGGCTACCGGGCGTAGCTTGATAGGAGCTTTTGCAACCAATTGTCACTGGTGATTCCCGATGCTCGAGGTCGGTGAATTCGGTAGGCGGGTTCATGCGCGTACCGTACATCAGTGGAATCACATCTCATAGGTACGGTAGGTACAACTTGGGTACCTGACAAGTATTATTCAGGTACCTACTACCTGCGGGTCTGACGGGTGGGTAGGTATGGTAGTAGGTACCGTACCTGGTAGCCAATTGGCCGCCGGTACCTGAATTCTACTGCAGATCGTGTCCTTGGTTGGTACCTGAGACTAACACGTACAAAACCGGGTACTCACATTTTGCATTGCGTTGGGTTACCGGGTACCGTTGGTATGTAGGTACCAGTTGAGTTTGAATGCGAGCAACGACTCTGTGAAAATGTGTCCGTGACCGTCAAAATTCGCATCGACGGTCTTCCGACCACGTTCCGACAATTTAAGTGACTGAGACCCAACGCGACCCCATGTTATCGATTCCCCTTGGGCATCTACATCAACCGTCGACATAACATGTGAGCCATATCCAACGGCGATCGGTCCCTGTCAAAGCTGCAACCCTAATTTACGAACTTGACTCGAAGGCTGAAGCTCCACTTGAGCTCATTGAATTTCTAGCTTTGAGCTTGAGCATTGTGAGCTCACGGTAGTCGCGATGACCATGGTGACGATTCAAGTGACCCACTGCAGCTGGTCAGTGGTCACTTGATCATTGATGCATGGCTCCTCCAATATATATTCACCACATTTCTTCCTTACGACCCAAATGCTTTTGCTATTTTGCATGCCACGATATGCAGTGTAAAGAGGGTGTGAGACCTTGTTTTCCGAGCTTTTTTGCTTGTCATCAGTACTGTTGTACCAACGCGCAATAAGTCGCAGCTCGGCCCAGCTCCATGCAACTTCCTAAGAGAAATGGGGGAGTCTTGGGAATGTTTAGGAAGGCCACCAAAAAAAGTTGAGCTGAAAGTATGCCAAAACGATTTTTGGAGGCCAGACTGCAAGCATAGTTGCATTCAAGACACATTGGATAGGGCACCTGCAACTTTTGAGAGACCCGCATGACCTGAAAGAGGCGCTGCGAAGGTAGCCATTCCGCCAATGTTTAGCAAGGATTTCACTGCTTGGAAGCCATACCTGTGTGCTGTCTCCATACGCTCTCTTTGGACCCAATTTTTGTAACATGCAGGCAGTACGGTGCCTCCGTGCTCGATCCGTACTAGGACCTCGGAGGTACCGTACAGGCATCATGTAGTCACCAATAGGTACCGGCGATGCGTACCGTCGATTGAACAGTACCTCCGTACTACTACCTTGCAGCCTGCGCCCCGGTACCACGCAAATTTGACCGGGGAAATCCGCGTACGTGACATGTGTGCTCGATTTATAACAGCCCGGGAAAGGATGTGACCCCGGGAGGTGGATGAGCCGACGGGTCCGGCATCTAGTCGCTCCAGACGCCCAACTGAACCGACCTCTGAACGACGCCCAGCCGGTGGAGCACGAATAGCACTAATTTGGTTCGGTTCGCTGTGATAGTACGGCTTGAGTTTCCACACGACTTGGGCAAATCTTGACATGCACAATATGAGCCGGGGGATACTCAAGCGCCTTCTAAACGGGCTTGTAGAAGTGTCGTGGCTTCATCAACGGATTGCAACACTTTACCACGGTGACGTACGCAAACCGATCGTATAGTCGGCAACGAGCGGCCGACCAACTTCGAACAAGTAATACGACAAATGGGTACTAAAAAGTATTGTACGCAAAGTTGGTGCCAGCTAGTGCCTTGCCGATTATTGGGACGGGGAGGGATGCCAATTGTTGTACACTTATCTTCACTACCCTCCTGGAAATAGGCCGGCCGAAAGTTGCTCGCGCACGGAACTGACGGATTTTTCTGGATGTTAAGCAGTGAACCGATTAGTACCCCTGCGGGAGACCGTGGCTTGCCTTCGAGAAAGCCGATTGACCTTAACCGGGCGTAAGTCGTAAACCGTTTGATTAAAAGCGTCGATAGTTCAACTTAATGCATACTCAGACTCAAAACTCGACTGGGCCATGCCTGACCCACCTCAGACCTGGCAAGCAAGCATGAAACGTTCTTACTCCTGGTGAGCATAGGAGAGGCGCGAAGGCGCCTGGTGATAAACTTCTCGGAGAGAAGGTGGTGTAAAGGTTACACCTTTGATGGAATCCC